CGCCTCAGAGCCCCCCAACGGCCCCTGAACTGCCCCTGAACTGCGCCTGAACTGCCCCTGAGCTGCACCTGAACTGCACCTGAACTGCGCCTGAACTGCCCCTGAACTGCGCCTGAACTGCCCCTGAGCTGCACCTGAACTGCACCTGAACTGCGCCTGAACTGCCCCTGAACTGCGCCTGAACTGCCCCTGAGCTGCACCTGAACTGCACCTGAACTGCGCCTGAACTGCCCCTGAACTGCGCCTGAACTGCCCCTGAGCTGCACCTGAACTGCACCTGAACTGCGCCTGAACTGCCCCTGAACTGCACCTGAACTGCCCCTGAGTGCACCTGAACTGCCCCTGAGCTGCACCTGAACTGCCCCTGAATGCACCTGAACTGCACCTGAGAGCACCTGAACTGCCCTTGAACTGCACTTGAACTGCATCTGAACTGCCCTTGAACTGCCCTTGAACTGCACCTGAACTGCCCCTGAACTGCACCTGAGCTGCACCTGAACTGCCCCTGAATGCACCTGAACTGCCCTTGAACTGCACCTGAGTGCACCTGAGCTGCCCCTGAGCTGCACCTGAACTGCACCTGAGTGCGCCTGAGCTGCACCTGAAGTGCCCTTGAACTGCACCTGAACTGCACCTGAACTGCCCCTGAACTGCACCTGACCTTGCACAAGTCAAAGCCCAGCTTTCCCTCCTCCGAATGGATTTATTGACTCTCTTCCTCCCCTCTGGAGCTCCCTCTGCCACTGCTGCGTGCTGGGCAGTGGCTTTTGGAGCCCAGAGCCAACCTTGAAATGCCTCCTGACTTTGAACCAAACCCCAGAGCAGGAGCAAAAATCCCTTGGAGATCCTGCAGGTGCCCCAAACCCTCACTGTGGGAAGAAAACAACCAATAAAAGGTCTTTTTTTGGGTCCAAAAGCCCTGCCCGGTGCAGTGCTGTGATTTTCTGACTCCCCATCTCCAAGCACAGGGAGGAGAAAAAAGGGACCAACTCCCCAGCTCACACGCTGGCTCAGATCAGCATTTGTTAGTCCCCCTGTGTCTCTAAATCCACGTCCCGTTAGGGATAATCTGGTTACTCTAATTGCCCAGGCCATTAGGGCTGAAAGAAAACGAACAAACAAAAGAAATTCATGCAATTAAGAGCCCCCAAATCGAGTTAAAACCTTGTGATACATTGCAGTGAGGGCTGCTCTTCTCCAGTGACTCCCAGAGGTACGTTTCATTCCCTGCAGATCCGTGTGCTTCAGGGGAGGAACTCAATTAAAAACAAAAATAAAATCTGATTTCATTTTAATTGCTGGGCTAATGAAACTGCTCTCACATCCTGACCCTGGTGTCTCAGCTTGGCGAGCAGCTTCTTGCTCTCTCCTAACATTTCTGCTGCCCATGTTCTACAGATCCCTGAGAGGAGGTTGGAGCCAGGGGGGTCGGGCTCTGCTCCCCAGGAACAAGGGATGGGACAAGAGGAACCGGCCTCAAGTTGTGCCAGGGGAGGTGGAGGTTGGATCTGGGGAACAATTCCTGCCTGGCAAGGGCTGTCAGGGCCTGGCCCAGGCTGCCCAGGGCAGGGGGGGAGTCCCCATCCCTGGAGGGGTCTCCAAGCCCTGGAGATGGTCAAGGTGTTCCCTATGGCCCTCTTTGGTAGTGACACGAGGGAAACAATCTGGAGTGTGACCCTTCACAAATGGTGATGCTCCAAAACGTCTCTGATAAACTGCTTTATCAAAGACACCTTTTTACAGATGAGTGAGGGGTCATGCCATGAAGCTGTCCCCAAAATGTCCCTGTGGCAGTGCCAGGAGCCTGGCACATCTCTGCTGTCATCAATCTCTGCGTGCACGTTCAACCAAGGCAGGAAGTTCTTTATTCCAGTTCCACTTGCAAGGCTTTGCTGCTGTCTGCAAGGGTATCTGATTGTCCCCTTGGAGCTACCAGCCCTGGCAGTGTCCCCACCAGTGTCCCCGCCATTTCAAGAGGATGAGGATCCTGCAGTGTCCAAGTAGTAGGTGGTTTATTTGGATTTACTGGAAAAAAATGCAGATTTCTACATGAGTTGTCTCAGCCCCAGGAGCCTGTTGGTGCAGAGACCAAGCAGGTCCAGTCGGACTAGGAGGTGGGCAGGGTGAACATCACCTCAGTATCCATGTCTCAGGCAAAGGCAGATATTTCTACTAATTCAGGCTTTTAGAAAACAAAATAACAAGAGAGAGCTTGTTGCCACATCTGGGGTTGGGATGCAGCAAACCCAGAACTAACAGGACAAAGGTAATTAGGAGCAGATGGCTGGTTTGGAAGGAGATGGGGTGGAGAAAAGAGAAGGATCAAGATGAAGAGGGGAAAAGTCTGCATGGGAAAATGCAGAGAAGGGCCAAAGGAACCAATTCTGTTGAAGCAAGGGGCTGGTGTCTGTGCTTATTTGCGTGACCCTGGTCTGGCACATCCCAGACAATCCTACTTCAGACTATGTTGTGGGTGGCCTCACCACCCAGCCTGGGCATGCATGGGATCCACCAGCAATCTTCTCATTGTCCTTGGCCCCAGAGGCTCTGCCCATCCCTGCCCTGATGCCCGACTCGAGCCATACAAGAGCAGGTTGTGTTTCCCTAGGAAGGGTGCTGGGTCCCCACAGCACCCGTGGCAGGAGGCACTGTGGTCTTGATGGGTATCTCAGGAGGCAAAGCCCACATTTGGATGCAGGCACTAGTTGCAGATGCTTGTAGAGGCACAAATGCTGGGACGTGACAGGGTGGTGCTGTCATGTCACACTCATCAACACCAGGAAAAGGCAAAACAAAACAGCAAGGTCACACTGGGCTCACATTTCCTGCCTGTGCTCTTGTGAAAGTAAAAGAAGTTCCTAAAAGGCTGACTCAAGCCTCTGGCAGGATGGGAACTGCCCACGGTGGAGAAGAAGCTCCTGTAAGTGCATTTTCTGCTCTTTGCTTGCAGGCAAAGCTGCACAAGAAACCTGGAGAGGTTCTTTTTTCTTCTTGAAGGTTTTCCAGCTCCTGAGCACCGGTGCTCTGTCCAGCTGGGATTAATTTCTGAGCTCAGCCCATATTGCATTCCTCATTTCCCTGCTATGAGCTACAGGGTGGGAATGGGAATGTCAGTGCAAGTGTGACACGGAGCGGGGAAGACGTGGCAGAAGGAGAAAAGGCATCTTGGTGGCCTGAAAGTGACCCAGAAATGGACGTTTTGAGCTTGGCTTTTCCTGATACGGTGTGTATGGGGGCAAAGTGTTAAGGGGTCTTACTGGGTGTTGATGGGATCTGAAGGGTGGGCAGCTTTGGTTTCTTCTCAAAGGTATATAGTCAGAAGTGTACGTGACTAAGGAAGAATTTCCTCCAAAATATGAAATAAAGACAGAATAAGAAAAGCCAATTCCCAGAAGAGTCTTTTTTATGGCACTTTTTTATGGCAGATCTCTGCTCCCCGTGGCTGCTCTGTCTGAAGTGCCCAGTGGCCCTTGCTAAAGAACAGGAAAACATTTCAATCCAGCTTAAACCAAATTTTCTTCTGCTTTCAGCTACCTGGAATTGCCTGGAATGAGGATTTAAGGAGTTACAGCCATGGGACAGCAGCAGGTACGTCCACAGCTTCACCCCTTCCAGCTGCACACCCTCAGGCATCCTCAGCACCCCATTCCAAACCCTGGGTGCTTTGCTTAACCCACTTGGGGTGGTGGGGCTCCCATTACTTGGTGGCTGCAGGTCTCTTGGGCAGTGGGAGAAACAGATCCTCAAGGAAACCAGGGCAGGAATGACTACAGGCAGGAATGACTGCAGGCAGGGAACTACACAGCCATGCCTGTTTTGGGATTGCTGGAAAAAATGAGCTCCAGGGGCAAAGTGGGCAGCTTTGGCTATCTCTGAAAAATTATGTGTTTTAGGGGTGGAGAGGTATTTGCACTATTTTTTCCCTGGTTTGCTGTCAGAGCCTGGAGATCAGTCTTGGACTTTTGAAAAACACATTCACCTTCACGGTACTGACACGAGGTGGCTCAGGCAGGTCCCATTTCCCAGTGAATGGGAACTGGGCTCTTCAGCCACAGCCATTGCCCAGCTTTTGGAAAACAAAATCCTTGCTGTGTTCTCGTGGGTGTGTTGTTCTTGTTTTGAAAATCAGACTCCAAAAGCAGGAAGCTTTCCAAATCAGTCACAGTTTCCTGAAATCTGGGTTGCAGCTGTCTAAACACTGACAGCAGCCTGCAGTCCTGGGGTGTGGCTGAACACACAGCCCTCACCCTCCCTGGTCAGCAGGATCTCATGCAGGATCAAATCCAGCAACATCCTTCCAGCTAAATCCCTATCTCTACCTCTAGCCTTGATCCAGGTGCCTACATGTCCTTACCTTTGGTGAGGCTTTGAGTGACCTGGGCTGGTGGGAGGTGTCCCTGCCCAGGCAGGGGGGTTGGAACTGGATGATCTTTAAGGTCCCTTCCAACCCAAACCATTCCATGACTCTGTATTTTCCACCTGTGACAAGAATCCATGGTTTAGTGTGCTAAAGTTGGTATGGAGAGGGCTCAGTGTCCTACCAGGAGCAGTAGAGACGTTCAGCATTTCACCTCCAGGGGCAGCCCCACCAACACAGAGGTGTTCTGCTGCTTCACTGGGAAATGAGCTGTTGCTTTCTCAGTAGTGACTCGAGTGAATCTAAAGCAGCTCACGGCGAGGTGTGGTGGGGCATTTCCCACCCTTTAGAGCAGAAACTTCCTCAAAAGATTGCAGTGGTATCAGGAGGAAGTGGTGAGTTATGTCAGAGACCCTCCTCATTTACTTTCATGTTTTAATGTGCCAGAGTGAGGAAACCAGGACTATTTTCTGCTGTGTGTGTGCAGACACCTGTCCCCATGCCATGGCCAAAGGCCAAGGGGTGCAGGACACAAAATCCTTATCAGAAGGTGGCAGAAATTCAACCTAGGAACTAGAGGAAAACCCTCCGTGATGTGACATTTGCCTTTCCTGGGTGGATTGGAGCAGCATTTTGACCCCTTTCGCTTGTCTTCTGCTCCTAGGCAGCCACTTGTCAAACTCATCTTCAAAGGTGGCAACAACAACTGGTGCCACCTGGCCGGATGCTGCCAATTCGAGTGACTACCCGTACGACTACCTGGAGGAGGAGGATTACATGCAGTATGGCCCCTGCACAAAGGAAGAGGTACTTTCCTTTGGCAGAGTGTTCTTGCCATCTTTTTACACCGTGGTCTTCCTGGTCGGGTTGGCTGGGAATGCCCTCCTGTTTATAGTCCTCATTAT